AAGAGTGATAAAAGTGCTGAAAAAAAAGTTTGACCAACAGTCACTGAAGAAGAAACATTTGTTTACTTTGAAACTAAAGTAAACATTTGAAACATATGAAACTAAAAGTTTTCCCATCCTTAAGGCAGCTCTTGCCGACAATCGATGCAAAACCGGATTCTCTAACATGAACTCCTGCGCTAACGTTAGCTAAGATAGTCCTGCTAAAGGCAAATGGTGCACAGAGTTCAAAAAGGGAAGTTTACTCCTGAATTTACTGGTTGTTTCTGTCATAAATCTTCAAGAACAAGCTCTCTGTGATCCTCCACTGACCATTTGGAAATCACAAGAGGTAATGGCAAAATCCTAAGGTTTAAAAAAACACACACACTCCAAGTTGGCAGTGTTGGACAACAGGAGTCATGCTGTATGGTGTTGATGGCAGCATTTCATACTGAATCTTTCGTATTTAAAGCATTCTTTGAAAAACAATAATGGCAGATAAACTCAGTGTAGCCATCCTTGTTTTGATCTGAGAAAAATTGGAATTATATATTTCACCTTTTTTCACCTTTCCTTGTACACACGTAATCGGGTCTTTGTAAAAACAAAATTCTCTGCCACATTGTTTAAAAAAAAAATCATACACACAGGATTGTCTTCAGAAAAGTTTTCATACTCATGAGCCCCACATGTATATGCCCCAGAGCGTTGTTTTAAACATGCCAAACATATAGGGGGCAGTGTAGCACAAAACTAAAACCTATGTCAGTCTCAGATTGCTCCAAAACAACCACGACTTCCTGTTAGGAGTAAAACATGGTATTAGGAGGTTAATTTATGTGGCCAGATATTTAGGTAGAAATACTTATAAACAGCGTATTAGAATATAAAGTTAGTAAAACACAAAATGATGTCTATCGGGAATCGTGTCGTGTATACAGTCTGCGATATTATTTGTCGCAGAAACTAAAACATTGATGCACAATGTTTTAGTTTCAGTTTACATTATTTGTAATGGAACAAATAATGTTGCTTTACCTGTTTTGTTAAAAATGTTTTTCATTTAGCCGGTAATGAAAATTTATTTGAATTTTTAAAAAAATTGCTTCTTGATTATTTTGTCACATAATGACATTGGAAAAACAGTTTTGATTTATCAAGTCTAATGAATTATGAAGCCTCTAAATTGTTCATATCCTCAAAAAAATCTGAGAAATCAACTGATTGCAATGTTAAGCTCTGGGTTTCAAACTGTTTTTTTTATGGGTATGAAAAGGCAAAATGGAGAAACTTGCACCATTGGCAGTCTGCATGTAGCTACCATTAAGGTATGTATACATGGTACATTATTACATGGTTGTTTTTTTTTACATTTGTTTTGTGCAGAATTAATATGAAAATTTTTAAATTCCATTAAAAAGAAACTCAATTTGAAACATACTGTGGTTTGTAAAATGTTTTAGATTCTGGTACAAGTGTTAAAAAAACCTTTCTTTTAGAGCTAATTTGAGAATTTGCTCTGTATACAGCTCTGGAATACGATTTGTTTTGTTTTGTTATGTTTTTTACCCCTGCTGGCTGCCACTAAATATAACTTTTCTGAATTATTCCCTCATAACTTGTGGGCCAGTGTGAAGCTACCTTGTTGCTATACTTTAAACTCTCCTGTTTTATTTGACAAACGTCCCCCTCTGTACTGTAACAGGTCTGCGCCTGATGGGCTGCTGCTCCCCAGCAGCCTCATTATTCCACTCCTCTCCTCTATCCAAGGTTGATCTAATCACCAGATCAACAAGGGGAAGAGTGGTAAGAACAAATAAAGGGGGCGAAATGAACGAATGATTAGTATGCCGTGAAAAGTACAATACGTTACTTATTTAGCATTTAGATAACTATCCGTCCTGAGGAGCAAGCTTCAAAGTTGAACTCAGTTTAGGCGAGGGGGATTAATTCTCTCCGTTGCATGCTTCATTGAATCTCTCATTACCAAACTTTGTCTGTATTGATGTTAGATTTGATTGAAGATTAGAGCATTTAGCAAATCTTGCTTTTCCGAACGCATCAGGCTTTTTTTATTCAGGCGCGCCACCATGCCTGCTGGTCAATACCCTCACTTTTATCCACTGTCTGCTTCATTTAAACTTAATCAACTCCATCAATGAACTGGAACAGCCAAACGTCCCGTAGAACAATAGCTTTTGTCGGATAATGCTTTGGTCTTATTCCCAACCGGGTGGCGATAAACCTGAAATTACACTATGATGAACTATTTCAATCAATATGATAATGGAAATTGGCTTGGCTGACTCTTTGCAGAGCTTAAGGAAGCAGGCTAAAGCCTATGTGACATTAATACATGCTCTCTCCCTGCTGTTGCAACCCCCCCGCCTCACTTTATTGTCCCTTCTTTTCAGTGACATTGACTCCACCATATTGCAGCGCCTGGTAGTTTAATGATCTACCTGCACCAGGGAATGCTCGCGCTGAAATGGATGCACATGCAGACGTTGTCGTGCATTGTTTCCTGGCTAAATTATAGGCTTTATACTTTGTTCCATATAGCGGCTCTGCAGGACGTAGATCAATCACTGATGGCACCGTAGTAAAGCAGCCACAAACATGACTTTTTGCTGCTCATTTGGACATTTTGTCCTCGTGTGCCATGCCGTGCCTCTTATGGGCTGCACTCCATCATATTTATACTGCCGCCAAAAGACCAATTTCACAAGCCTTAGCAAGGCAAACGAGTGCGTCCCATCTGTTGCATGCTAATAAATATGCCACCTTCTGGGAAAATGTGGAAGTGATCATGATGATCAACTGCCAAGAGACACGGCTTACCATAAACATGTTTATTCAGAAAGTTCCTTCTTCAGCAGTAATTGACAAATTTATTTCCCTATCAATTATTTTTTGAAAAATGCTTTATAAAAGACATGCAATAGTTTTTTTCTTTTTTCATCATCACCTGAGTAAAGCCTTGGTGTGTGTTCTGAAGTTGATGTCTTTGTTGTACCGCAGCTCAGTCACACGAGTCTTTTTAGCAGACTGAGTGTATTCTGCTCTGAAGATATAAAAATCTCCAAATTCATAAGCACCCACATGAGCTGAGGATGGTTGATGCTAAGTGATTGACAATGTCGGGTCTCAATTTGAAGGTTGCTGGTCCAAATCTCAGCTGATCCCTTTCTTTATTGATACTGGGCTTGTCATGAACTCAAAATTGAACTTGTTTTTTACCTTCCAGTCATCTTTTGAATGTGTGCGAGTTCAGATTATTTAATCACTAGTGAAGAAGCTAGCCAGAGGTGAGTGGATTTATCCAAAAGATTGATAATATCGATACTAAGTTGGTATCGGTATTGGCTTCGATACTAACACGGTAAGATCAATACTTTAGTTTCAGATTCCTTCTTGAAATGTTTTTATGTTCAGTTTTAGTTTCTTAACCTCTAAAAAGTTATTTATTTATTTATTTGTAAAAACCAAAAGCAAAACCTAAGGGTCAGAAGTTTGATATGTCAAATTTAAATAACGGTACTGGTATTGGTATTGGTATTGGTATTGGTATTGGCGATACTGGCCCTGCAGTTGTCTTTTTTTTTCACTTAGCCTTTTAGAACAACAACCCAGGTTTCATGCTGAAACTGCTCAATGCAGCACACCTCTAGCTTTACCAGGATGTGAACTCTAATTTGTTGTTTAACATTTATCAAGCGTACGATTACTTTGACTGTTTGTAGTTTTTGTGCTTATTGTTGAGATGTTTTAATTCAGCTGAGTCCGATTATTTAATTCTAAAATGGAAAAACAAATTGGAAAATGTTGAAATTCTAGTTATTTTAAAGGACAAGCCCAATTCATTGATTGTCCCCATAATAATGAATCTTTACCATGTTCTGCTGGAGATATTTCTCTGTTAAAAGGTTGTTCCTCCTCTACACAGTTTCCCTTCCTTTCTAAGTAAGATTACTAGTAAGGTGAAGATTTGATTTCAGAAGTCAAAATTGTGTTTTCCAGAAATGTTTTTCTTAAATTTCAAAGTTTTTTCTCTAGTAAAATTTGTGACTTTTCAAACTCAGAAATGCCCTCTTTTTTTATTTTTTTTTGTAGAACATTTCTGAGATGAATCTCAAAATTTGAGTTTTTTCTAGCACAGTTTTGACTTTTCAAACTCAGAAACTGCTTTGTTTTTTTCTAGAACCTTTTTTTGGCTTTTTATTTAAAATGACCCTAATATGCCATTGTAAGAAATAGATGGAGTTTCGACGTCGTAGTTTGAATATGAAACCGATGCTCCAAAATGTATCCATTCTAGAACCTGGTTTCAAAAAATGTCCTCCAAAAACCCTGCATCCATGTGCATGTACACCACCTGGCATACTGATACACCTAAATTCGTCAATGTGTGGACCAGAGTTCACTGTTGCGTTAACAGAATACTAGACACAAAATTGCACATACAAACAGAGCCATGCTTTATTTGAATTTATGTAGATTGCTCAGGTTCCCTAAATTGTAAACTGAAAGTTTGAAGCTACACATTTAGTCTGATTAATATCATTTGTGCCTGATATCTCTCGATGGCGTGAGCGCCTCCTTCTGCCTCTAACCTCTCACCCTTTGAAGCAGCAATTGTCAATTAGCCTGTCCTGTAACTTTCACTGAGCGAAGCTACTTTATATGCCACCGTCGTCTAACAAACTGACACCTCTGAATATGTTGCTTGCCTTTGTTTCCATGTTTTACTCTCGGTGCAAGAGATGATTTGAGAGGACAGACGTGCACAACAGACGCAGCACCTTGAACATCAAAGCGCCGTTGCTGCAGCATTGTAACGGCATGTCTGTGCTTCCGCTGGAAGCCTGAACACGCACACACCCCGCCACCGTGCACGGGGCATGTGAGTGTGCACGCACGTCAGACAGAAAGCATCCGAGACAGCCTCGATATCTGAAACTTTACAGGCCGCCTTTTTTCCTGCTTTGTCTGTCTTTGTTTCGTTCTCTTAGGTGAACAGGGGCCTGAGTGATAGACTCCCGAGCTTTCATCTCGCCCAGCGAGTGTAAATAGCTGTCATGTTTGATTGGCGGTCTGACGTGCGCACGAGATTCCCTGGAACAGAGGAGCAAAATTCAGCGAGGGCCCAATGCATGCTGGTTCAGCTGTCTTCAAGGCTAAGAGGTAATGAATGAGTAATTACAGAAACGTCTGCAGTCGACTTTTCAGATTTCTCACAGATCATACCAAAGAATTTGCATGTACTCCACAACAGGTTTGACTCCACAGGAGTAGATTCATTTTACCGACTTCAAAACTGATCATGTTTTATCATTAGACTATTTCTCGTTTGCTATACTTTGAATATTTCAACAACAAGGCAGTTCAAGGTGCTATACATCATAAAAACATAAGAAAAGTTTATTGCTTTGAAAAACGTTGGTTCTGGTTCTGGGGATGCAGAGCAGAACCAGAAGACCTGAGAGGTCTGGAAGGTTGATACAGCATCAGCAGATCTTTAATGTGTTTTGGTGCATTTAGTGATTTATAAACTAACATTTATAATTCCCACTTACTGTGGGACATCCTATAGTACTACCAAGTGGGAGGGGTCCAGTGTGCTGGGCAGACAATCCTTCTACTGAGCCCTGGGTCTTCCTTTGAATCTTCTTTTGATGAGATGAGCATTGGTATCAAATAACGGATTTCCTCTACTTAACTCTAAAGGTTCTCACATACTGAAGTACTGTCATTGGTGCTCCTTAACATAGACATATGGTGAAAATGGTGTCATTTTGTTCGCAGAGAGGAACGTGACACCAGCCCTGGGTTGAGCTTATCAACAGAGCTCTGTGCGAAGTGTTGTGTGATTGGTAAGAAGTTTGTTTCTGTGTTTTATGTGGAAATATCCACATCCAGTATCTATCTCTTGAGTCCACCGGAGACTCAAGCGATATGAATCTGAGGCCAAATAAAGAAGCTGTCAAACAGTTAAAACCTCCTGGATGGAACTTAGAAAATTGATGTCTAGAAAGGAGGCTGTCTGCAGAAAACGCAGTGGCACGGTTACAGCTCTCACCTTAACCACGTGTCAACTGTCAACTTTGAATGAAGTTCAAAGTTGGAGAGGCTTATGGCCGAGTCCTGCCACTCTATGGAGGAAGTTCAATATGGTAAAACTCTATCAGGTCAACCTTATGGTCAGGTTTGAGGTTAGAAAACCAGATGAACTTCTCAGTACTTTGCTCTAATAATGCTTTTTTTGTGTAATAAACTCAGACATTCTGTTTTCTTTATGGCATAATAGTAGTTCACCCTGCAAAGCTGAGAAGAGTTCTGTTTCTTGTTTGCTAGATTCATGATTACAGTTATTTCCTAGTCAAACAACCAGGGTCAGCACCGCTGTATCCCCCCTGTTAAATTCTGACTAGTTGCTGTACTTTGAACATTAATCATTAACTATGTACAGTGATGGCTGGCTGCCTTGACACACTTCTTTAGTTGGCCTCAGATTCATAGCGCTGATGCATTTTACAATGACTTTTTTGCTTTGATTTTAATACACAAAAGCACATCGCTCTCATCTGCACTCCAATGGGCTGGAACTGGCAAGAAGTAAAAAAAAGAAAAGAAAAAAAGAAAACAATTTAACCAAAGAGAATATATGCATCAAATGAAAAGCAGATGAAAAAATATACAATTATGTTCCTGATTGCCTCAGTTATTTCTCTGCCAGCTTGTGCCAGCTACCAGTAGAACCTGTCCCAAATGGGCCGCTTCCAGGACCGGGCGAAGCCCCAGAAAACATCACATCCTAACGGTGCCATCTCCCGCTGCATTTGTTTCCTCAGATCTGGGGCCAGTGAGCTCCCCTCGTTCCCCTCTCCTCTTTGCTATGCTCACGCCTTCGCCGTGTCCCAGATAATGGAGCTTCTGTCTGCCAAAGGGTCTGTGGCTGCCCAGGAGTAATGACCTGAGGGGGTACTTTGTGACAACCGGGGTATAATAATGCCTCCAGCCACAGACAAAGCAGACCCCAGGGGTCAATTTTTAAATACTTTTATGTTTTTCACTGAGGGTAGGAGTCATTTATTTTTATCGTCGGCTGCACCAGACGTATACACACCGGAAACAATGGGGTTTTTGTTAAGTAATGGGATGCGCTGTGCACCCGATGTTGAGTTAAACAATATGCGCCGGCGTCGTGCTTCCGCTGTCTGATGAAATTTCGTCCATTTTTTACTTATTTATTTTTTTCCACAGAGCTTATCCACACATGTCTGTAGGCCACGGTTCCTTCGATCAGAACCGTCTTATTGAGGTTCGCAAGGGAGTAGAGAATCACCTGTGAATGAAAGGCCTCCCCTTAATGGGTTAATTGTACCAGAAGCAGAGGGGCTTGCCCCTTCGAACAGTGGAGGATTGTAGAACACAGGCCGGTGGAAATGATGTCAAGCAATGCGTTGCCTGCGTTGCCCTGAAGGCCCAGAGTTTGTCTGTCAGCAGTTAAACGCCTTCCCCTAACACTCAACAATCAATTTACCTCCTCGGGGTCCATGAACCCAAAGATTTGACCTTGCAGACTCCAGCTTTGCTTCCCCCTCATCTTTCACACCTCAAAGTGTTTGTATTAGAGCAAATAGTTAGACGGCTTTTCCAGGATACTGCTACTTGACTGTCCTGGCCTCAGTTTGTTTGGGAAAACTCTTGTGATTGAGTTGTCAACGCACCTCCGGTTCTGTAATCCAAAGTCATCTGCAGAAATTACTCATATAGATACGCTGACAGAGGACTGCAATTACTATTAAATTAATAAAAAATAAAGCACTAATGATAAGGTTGTACTTTTTATCCAGCTCTTACAGCTCTGGTGTGCAGATTTACTTCATAATCTATACACCACCTTTTACTACAAACACAAAAAGCACAAACGTGAGAAACAGAATCAAAATGTTTTGGCTATGAGCCTCACAGTTCTTGTGGACATGAGTCTTAAAAGCTTGAGTTTAATGTCATTCACAGGCCAGTAGTTGTTTTGACTCATCTCTGCTTCAACGGAGCTGAACAACGTATGTTTTGCACTGTTTGTGCTCATCAGTTTCACATCAGTCAACATTACTTATTACTTAAGTCCAAGTCATGGACTTAAGTCATGGCTTTCAAAAATACTAAAGTACTTAAAATTTAGAAGCTTGAATGTAATCAGGAATAGTTAGGAAAATTTCCTCTAATTTGGACAGATTATCATCAATAATAATGTATTAGTCATATTTTTTCTAGCTTTCACTGATGCTCAGACACTTTACACTTTATAGTTTCAAGCATTGTTCATTTAATAGCAGGACAAAAAAAATGATTCTTTTTCTCCAATCTGGTGTAAGCTGCATATCGCCACCTACTGCATGGGGTTGTAGTGTGTAATGTTATCATATGCTGGTGGAACAACATAAACACAAACTACACAAACCAGGCCAACGGACGTAGCAAGTAACGAGCGATGTAGTGAAGTAAAAAGTATGATTTATTGTTAATATGTAGTGGAGTGAATGTATTAAGTTTCCCCAAGAAATTCTACTCAAGTATAAATTCTCAAACTGTACTTCTGTACAGCACTCAAGTAAATTTATTTTGTTGCTGCTCAGCTTTGCTTCTGAGAACTCCAGACTCCAAACCAAGTGTCAGCAGTGGCTCCACAGTTTGAGACTGTTGGCCCTTTAAAGTAAATTAGACTCTAAATTACTGGTAAAATTTCCAATACTGGAATTCAATTCAATAACTATAACTGCATGTGGCTCCTATTGTAGCAAGTGATGCATTGCATTCATTTATTACTCCAGTGTTTACTTTGTGTGTGGATTTTTTATTACAATATTTCACTTCAAAATATTGGTTTTAGTGTGGCTATTTTTTTTGTGTTCTTTTCCAAAGTAGGTTGGCAAACATGATCAACCGCATATAATGAGTCTTCCTGCATCATTACAAATATGCCAAAATCAATCTGATTTCAGATAAAAGACATAAAATGTTAATCAAAACCCAAGTAATTGGTTTAAACATGGTGATTTGTAAAAATAACTCAACATGAGTTTCCAACATTGCAGTGAAATGAGACTCCATCCTGCCTGTCTTGGCTTGTGCTTTACTGCTCAGATAAGCACTAAAACTGTGTGCAGTTTGTGCTGCTGGATTTTTCTTTAGCTGAGGGGAAGACAGAGTGGTTGAGGGTGTATACACGTGGGGGAAGAGCAGCAGTAATAGAACTCAGCTGGAGTAGGTTACTTCAGGGAATGCTTCAGGAGCAGGAACACTGCCAAAAGAGCGAGGAAACATACTTCACTTTATTGATTTTGTCGATCGTCTTAAATGAGGGGCACTCCAGGCCAAGGGCTCACCTCTGCATTGTCTTGTGTGTGCTCGTGGTGCACAGTGGACAACATGCAGCACTTATAGACACTGTGAGTCAGAAAAGAGGAGTTTTACAGTGGCGGATATAAACATTTTTTACATTGGAGGTGGGGGCAAAGAAGTGGCAAGAGGTCTTGGCAGAGCGGCCATGTTGGATCTCCTTGGGGAAGTATTGGAAAAAAACCCATATGTAAATGGAGTCAACATACACAAAAACACACACACAAGAAAATGATTTGTGTTTTTTCCAATGACTAGTTATATTTGCTCATTGAGTTAAGTTTTTTTTAAACATTTGTACTAGTTTTAGTGCCACTACTTTTATCTTTTACTTGAGTAATATTATGAAGTATCACTACTCTTACTTCAATAATATTTCTGGATGTACTTTTTAAAGTCTCACCTTGAGTCCTCTAAACATATATGTCAATGTAGCCAAAAATCTCAATATTTGCCTTTTGTGACCATGAAACTTTTCCCAGAATGCTTCTGGCTTGGCCTTGTGGGAAGATGCAAATTTGAGTTGTGGTTGACAGTTTTATTGACGTAAAAGTGATTTCACTGTCTCTGGTGCTGCAACATCTTTCAGTTTAATACTGTCTAAAGCTTCTGTGGTTCCTATGATGGTGTGTTAGGGCCATAGTAGGTAGAAAAAAAGGAACAAATTTCTGCCATAAATTCAGCCATATTGTCGAAAAAAACTTGGAAATTTCTGAACTTGGAAAGTCAAACATTTATGGGGAAAAAGCTCACAAATTTTTAGATTAATCTCAGAAATT